CATGAAATTTAGGGGTAACTTGTTATTCAGTGAATAGATTGTCAAAACAGTCACAAAGGTACACGTCTTATTATCCTAGAGGTGGTAAAATTTGAAATGAGCAGTTAGTGTGAAAATAGTGTGAGTTAGTGAGAGGAAGCTAGAAATATCTAAAAGCTCCACGGTCCTCGGAAGTCAATAGAGCTAACATTAAGTATTGGTTGGAGGTCCCATGGGGCCATGAAGTCATGACGGCCCTTAAATAAGTTAATAATTTCCTGGAGCCTCAATTCTTCACTTGTAAAACTGGGAATTTACCCCAGTTCAAGATGGCAGGTGCCCTTCCTCATATTGGTGATATTCATTTTGAAGACTATTTCTCTTCTATGTTTTCTCTGTCTCATAACTCTGGGCATGATTTTAATCATAAATATAGGAGCAAGTTAATCAAAGAAAGATGTGTTCAAATTTCCAAATGAGCTGAGAGCTATTCTAAATATTGCAGGTTCGAAGGCATTTCCAGAACACCGGAGCTTTATCTGATCATATTCCAATAAAGGCTGCCTTTGACATGAAGCTTGAAAAACATGGTAAGGGTCATTCCCATGTGGAAAAAGTTCAGTTTTTATCCTTTTTTTTTCCCCTCTTCTTTTTCCTCGTCTATCAAAGGCCTTTATCTCTCTCATATTCCCTCCAATATTGGCGTGTATATTTGAAGTCCTACCATTATCATACCGGTATCTGCTATTTAGAGTCTATCAACATAACAGAAGTCAGAGAGAGGAGGACAGTAAGGCTTTATTTACCACCATTCATCAAAGTTCTGACAGACTATTCTGCAGAGAAAAGAGAGCAGTGAGAACTCCGAGTTCCCTTGCCAAGCTAAATGTGACTTCCATGGAAGTTCGGGTGTCCTAATGTTCCAAGGCAAGGAGAATCAACAGATGGCCAGCCCTGGACAAAGACAAATTCTGAACTCACTCACAGAAAAGCTTTCTTAGGCCTTTCCAGCCTGCTCTTCTGGCTCTAGAAAGAGTACTTGTATACATTTTATGGAACAGAATGACCCCAAAACCCTGCCTGAAATGTCTCATTCCCAATGGAGAATGAAGAATGAAGAATGATCATACCCAAAGAAATGGGAGAGCCTTTTCACACCACATCTGTCAGTTCTCTCTCTCTCTCTCTCTTTCTCTCTCTCTCTCTCTCTTTTTCTCTAGGGAGAAGCAGAATCTAGAGAAAGGGACTGTGGGCAGTCCTTATAAAAGCTCCTATAGGGCTTCCGTACTTGGGGGAGTGCCTGCACTCACACATGAACTCGCATGTGCACACACATATGTACACACATTCTCCCCCTGCTTAAAACCAATGCCCTGAGGAACTCTAATGAATTATCCATTCCACCATCTGAACTGCCTGAGAACCCATTCATAGTCATCCTACCGTTCTTCTAGGGAGCGGAATGTCAATTGCATGTCAAGCAATACAGTAATCAGAGGGCATCTAGAAACTTTGGACGCTTTGTTCTGAATAGTGGAGCTTTCCAAGTAGCTAAAGATCTCCCCATTTAAGCACCAAATATTTTTTTTTCCCAAAGTAACACTTCAGCAATTTTGGACACATAAAACCCTCTGAAATTTTATTACATGTATTCAGTTTCCTGAATATAATTTAGCCTCACCTTCAGAACTCAAGGCCCTTATCATAAGTACCAATTTCTGTCCTGGGGCTAGACCACCAAGTGGCTGCTGAGGCCAAGTGGAAAGTCAGAGAACAAGCCCAAAATGGGGCTCCAAATAAAGACACCACAGCAGATGTCGGAAACCAGGTCAGATGCCTGGGCTCTAAGGCCTGGGTTAGCCATAAAGAGGGTAAGATTTAGAAAGGGTGTCCACAGTAAGCATTGCATTCATTCTGTGACCTGATTTTCCCAGCTAGCATCATCGAGGTATGCGGGCAAAAATCTTGAGTCTAAAGCATCATCTGCTTCTGCAAAGCATCTAACTCCAGCCCTCCACTTCTAATTCAATGCTTCTAATTTCTTGTGGTCCTAGAGACGATCAACTTGGTCACAAGTGAATAAAGGGCCAAAGGTTGCTTTTCTGGTAACTCAGCTACATGTATGCCTTGCGTCTTCTGGTAGGGTGATTGGGGTCTCTGACTTACTTCCTAGTTATAGCTCAGGAGGGTAGACTGCTGCCTCATTGAGCTCCAGATAGATAAGGGGTCGTTTCCTTCCTTACTTTCCTTCTAAAATCATCTCCTTCCAGCTTCCTCCTACGCTCATCCTATTCATACAATACGCTTCCCTCTTGAGTTGTACCTTTTCCAACTGGGAACACCAATCTGTGCAGATCTTGCTGCTCATGATGGGACAGGTGGTGCAGCAGTAACCTCTGAGAAGGCACACATCCACTAACAAGTCACTAAGGAAGAAGTCACTGAGGTCTTCTAAATTACCAGCCTCAAGGGACACCTCCTTTCCCAGCATGGAGAGGACCTCTGAGACTAAGGCAAGTGATCAGTAATTCTGCTATCAGAGGCCACCCTCAGAGCACAGGGTCAGGGGCCCACGCATAACAGTGACTTAGCACCTCATGTTATAGATCTGGCCTTCAATTTCTCAGACAACTGATATGGGGCCAGGGAAACATTCCATGATGCTATTATCCATACACAAAGTCATGTAAAAGCAATTTAATTGAAAAAAGAAGAAAAAAGAGAACATGTGATCGTGTTTTTGTTTTTATTTTTTTAATGACCTTGAATTATATATCTAGCTACCTTTGATCTAGCTTCTTTTCCAGAGAACTCAGTCTTTGCTTTCCCCCCAAATATCAATCCACCCTCTGACTAGCCTAGTTTCTCTTATTTTTTCTTCTATGCTGGCTTATCCTGAGGCAAAGAGGAAGGAAAAGCACAGCACGTGAGGAGGAGCAAGCACTTGGGAGCCACAGCTGGATCTGTATGGTCACCCTGCCATTCCCTACTTGTGTGACCCTGGCCAAGTGACTTACTTTGTCTTTGACTCAGCGTGTTTCTCTACAAAAAGGAGGACGAACACAGTAGTTGAAAGAATGCCTTCAATGGGTGAATGGGGTCAAAAGGTACAAACTTCCAGTTATAAGACAGATTAAGTCCTGGGGGTTTCATGTAAGCACAGTGACTGTAGCTAACAATGCGGTATTGTATCTTGGGAAGTTGCTAAGAGAGTACATCTTAGAAGTTCTCACCATGGGGGCAAAAAAAAAAAGTGTAACTATGAAGTGATGCGTGATAACTGAACTCATTGTGGTAAACCTTTTGCAATACATGCGTACATCAAATCATTATATTGTACACCTTAAACTAATATCATGTCACACTGCAATTATATTTCAGTGAATTCTGGAAAAGAAAAGAATACCTCATCATGCCAGTTTCACAGTATAGCTGTATTAATGGAGACACTACTTACAACATGCTTCACAAAGCCTCTGGGACCCAGGAAGCCGACCCTGACCCTATCCTAGGTGGTGACAGGAAGCAATGGCTGCCCTCTAGGTGCTCTCAGAATGTGCATTGAGATTTGAAGTTCTCCAAGAAGGGGTCCTTGGGGATTCATTCTAATAGGTAAGAACTGTTTTGCACGAACAGAGATGTAAACTAGCACCTGAAGACTCTTTTTTAGAACTTTGAAAACTTACTGTTTGCAATCTCATACACAACATTTATTTGCATAGTTAAGTCCCCATTCTCATAAGAAATACGAAGCAAATTCCCATCCAAATTATTGCAGTTTCCAAATGTTTAGAATCCAGAACGACTAGAAGTTTCTGCATACAGATGTCAATGCCTTTCTTTTCCTCAACAAGCCTCCTTTTTGGCATATAAGTCTACATGCCTCCTCCTCTCACATGGTGGTTCCCTGTTTTATTCTGGACTCTTTCTAGTTTCCCTCCATACACTTTCCTTGGAGGGGCAAGCTTCTCCCAGTCTCCCCTGACCTCCAGTCTCTCCTGAGCACCATCTATTTGAGGCCCTCAACAGGTGCCATCAAGGCTGTGTTTTTGCACAGGTTGCTCCTCTGCCAAGAATGACCATCCCTCATCCTGTTTTAACAGATACTTCTCAAGGTCCTGCTCAGATGTCTCCATCTGCTCTCTACATACACCATTCCTATGACACCACGACACACTTAAGTTATTCATGCACGGGTCTGCCTCCCTCCCCAGGCTCAGGGCTTTTAGAGCAGTGCTTCAAAATGCTTATGAATCACCCAAAGATTTTGTGAAAAATGTTGATTCTGTTTTACCTCCTATGTGTTCTGACTCAGTGAGTCTGGGATGGGGCTTGAGGTTCTGCATCTCCCATAGCTTCTAGATAATGATGATCTACTGCCCTGTAATCCACTTGGGAAGCTTTGAAGAAGCTTCCGAAATGTTAGTGACTTGGCACTTCATCATCATCATCATCATCATCATCATCATCATCATCTTTTAACACAGCTGCCCAGCAAGTGTACTTTAGGGAGATGAAAGAAATGTCAGGGCTGCCCGGAATCATGCAGGGTGGGGACACGCAGGGAATGGGGGCGAGGGGGTGCTGGAGAAAGTGAGTAGAATCAGAAAAAGGAAAGGAGAGAGAATGAGGTTAGCAAAGAGGCAAGAGACAGCAAAGAGAGGAAGAAAAGGGAGTGAAAATAACAGGGAGAGAGAAGACAATCGGAAGGCCTCCGTTGTCTGACTTTCCAGATCAGGGGGTGGACTTTTGGACGCCATCCCTCCCAAGGGTGGGTACTCCAACAACTTATGTCACTGCAGAAATGTGCTCAGGCCTTCACCACTTCCTTCTAAACATTGTCCTTCCCTGACTAATTAATGAACAAGTGGCCAGTGGCAGGGTAATAACAAATGAGAGCCTCTCTCATGATTGCAAATGCACAGAATGGTTTGTATCAGCTCAGAATATCTACGATGGGCCGCAAGTATTTTCCCCTAAGACTTCAAACCGTCCACCCCAACAACCCACACAAAAGTTACCTGATACAGTTCGATCCGCTGTTCGGACACTCTGGCTTTCGGGTTCTGTAAACGAAAGACTCTGAACTCTGCTTTCACCAAGTTGGATGCATTCTTCTCCATCGCCGAGACGTCAAATCGGACAATTCTGAAGTAGGGTCTGTAGAAAGTGGGCGGGATGGCATCTGTAAAAAGTTAGGGCAATCATTGAAAAATGATAAAATCCATTGTTCTCTCACAAAGACCATGCAGCATGAGATAGTCCCAAGAAAACATAAGGGAAATATCTACAGAACGATTTAGTTTCCAAGGGCCAATTTAATACCATTAACAATTTAACCAGAGGGGGGAAAAAAGTAAATAAACATGTGCATTTGGTTACAGGAGTAGCAGATTAATAGAGATTAACAAACCACTTCCAACTCCATCTGAGGGCATGTAGTTAACCCTATCCTTTGAAAGTTGACAGAGCAGTGGAAAATCCTAGACGGTTATGAATTGGAACAAGTTCATGACAGTTGATGCCTGGAGAGAGCTGTCGGGCTTGCATACACTTTAATCAGCTGTGCCAAGAAAATAGCTCCTAATGGCAAGCAGTTTGCCCATGTATTTTTTTTCCTTGAAGTTTTGGCATCTGGATGCTCTACTCTATCCAGGTTCATGCATTGCATCTTTTTTGGCTTCACTATTTTGGTTTTTCACACACATATGACCGAATACACCCTCTAGTTAAGTTAGGGTGAGAAAATTTGAATGGAAGAAAAGAATAAAAACCTATAGCCACACACTGGTTATATCAGGTCCAGTCTTAAAATTCTTTATTCAGGTTAATGTCCATTGGTGGGAGGGAATCCTGGCTAACGAAGAGAAAGAATCAGCCCCAATTCCTTCAGCTCTGAGCCATGTGAAACACAGAGAGGCAGATAGTACACAGCAATTTCGAGTTCATGGGTTGCTCGAGGTTTGCTGTTATTTTGCAGTAATTTGCCACCGCCTCTGAATAAGCAACTGAACTACGCCAACAAAACCAAAGCAGGTCCTAATTCTAGCCCCACGCTCCATATACAGCACCCGTTCATTGAGCATGTACACTGGGCAGGCCACTTGTTACAGATGTTTCTACGGTTCTCTTCCAAAATCTTCTGCAAACTTTCTCTCATTATTCTGGAATGCTCCATCCAAATCTGGTAGCTCCAGGACTCTCTACCCTCTTCTCAACTATGTAGCTTCATTACAACATAATCATTCACAGTTGTTTATGGCTTTTTACAAGTGTTTTTATTACTTCTGCATTATGTTTGTTTATTTTGTTTTCCCCCATGAAATTTTAAGAATCTTGAGGGCAGAGACCATATTTGCCAGGTTTTCCCTCCCCCCACCCCCACATCCCTAGGACAGGGCCCTGCACACACGGAATTCACCAACTATCCGCTGTTTGCATAGTTGGTCATCAATGGGACTCTTGAAAGACTCAGGCATCTGGCTATTGGCAAGACTAGCTTCTTATTAAATAAACGAGCCATCTTGCCGATCTTAAAATAGAAATAAATACCTTTCATGATTTCTTGGGAAATCCGTGCCCTGACGATTACGCTGAAAAAAATGCTAGGAACACACCAACATTCGCTGATCCTAAGAGCTCAGCACTTTTTACTCTCAAGGGGGCTTTCACCCATCCCTCTCCCCGTGTCCTGTGACTCTCAGAAAGCCGCTTATGGGGAAGCAGTGAACTCCAAGCCAAGCTCTGCTCCATGACTGCTTCACAAACGACTGTGTGAATGGAAGCTTTGTAGCTCCTGAGCCAGCAGTCTCCGAAACAAACAAACAAACAAAATAAAAACCCCAAAAATCTAAAGCATCCAGGTGTCAGAGAAAAGGAAGTATTCATGCAGACGCAGCGATGGCCCAATGCACTACTACTGTGGATTAGTCGGTGGACAGTTTTCGGGCAAACATTCGTCCAAGTGGCCAGGTTTTTGGAGCCCCCTGGCATTGCAATTCGAAAAAGTCGCTGCTGGGAAGAAATCTCTCTTTCCCTCCTCCGGAACATGCCCACCCCAGGTGATTGGACAAGCTGGTACTGGCCTGACCAGCTCAGCTGAAAACAGGCCAGATGCCCAGGCAGAGAAGCTGGGGCAAAGCTGGAGCCAGGATCTGGCTTTCTACACCCTCTAGTTTGGCCAGAACCTTCCACAGGCCTAGTGGCTGCATTCCTCTTCACATGGCCTCCCCATTAAGACAGCAGAAGCTTCAAACATGCTTTGAAAGAGCATCCTGAAAGAGCAAAGCTAATTCAGTGCACTTCCTGCCATGAGGACGAGTAAACATCTCTCTCGTGTTTTCCCCTCCTCATTCGGCGGAACCCCCCACAGGCCAGTTCTACTTCCCCGAACACCCATCTTTCACACCCACCCGCCCCAATCTTATCCTTCCATCAAGTTTGTAAATAAGTGCTCTTGAGATTTATTTTTATTCTCCTTTGTGTTTATTAAACTTCGAACAATTTTTTTTCCCCTTTCTGGTCTTCTGCCCAAACTCACTCTTTCTTTTTATGGCTGCTTCGGACCATGAGGTCAATTTTGTTTCTTCTTCTTCTAAGCAAATTGTCCAATGATCCTGTCCTAGGCTTTTGAGCTTTGAAGGGGCGTTTGCAAATATTTACAGGAGTAGCCTGATGGTTAAGTGCAGCTGTCCTGCTCTGCTCCCTATACGCTGGCGCGCAGCCCTCCTCCCTCTGGCTATTAGAACCCGGGCCGCTATTTCTATTTCCATGCCCCATAATACAAATCTGCCCTTTTTTTTGGGGGGGGGGGAGGGTCTTGCTTTATAAGCAGAAGGAGTTAATGCACGAGGGGAAATGACCACTGAGCAGCCCCCACCAGCAACTCCACTTTGGTCTCGTAAGCACAGTGAAGGGACTGGGCCAGGAGGAAGCAGCAGCCTCCCCCACGCCCTGGCTCGAGCACACGAGAGCAGGAGATCCCTTGATAAAGACTGTTGACCAAAGAACTGACTACCACTTCCAAAGGCCGCTTGCAGCTGTCCCCTGTTGTCATCTGCTATGGGTCACCGGCCCCCTGCCTGTCTGAGGAACTTGAGTGACTTGGCAGATGTTTCTGCATTTGGGGGAAAAAAAAAAGTCACAGCAACTTGCTCTGGCCTGGGCTGTGACCCTACCCTTACCTCATAAAAGCTTTTGGATGCACAGTGTAGGGAGAAGTGACAGTGGCCCATCTACACCCAGCCAGGGACACAGCAGGCTCACTCCCTGGGCTCAGGGCGCCCGAGAGGCAGGGTAGGTATTTAATGGCTTGTGCAGCCCTGATCCACCCACCTAGCCTTGGAGGGATGGAGCTTTTTCCTCTACCTTCTCCAAGAACTCATTTCCCCCGTTGGAATGGGAGTTCTCCCTAAAGTCCTCTGTAATTCCAATCCCAGTTCCTCTTCCATCGCCAGGTGGTCAGGTACTTGTGCTTGACCTTTGCCAACTTACCCACACTCACATCCTGGTTGGCTCTTTCCTCTCAATTTCTGACCCATTTTTTTTTTTTTTGGTTCAATCAAATCGATTTTCCTGCCACCCTTTGGATCAGACCACCAGGCTGATTCTGCTCCTCCTCCCATGCTCGTTCCCGTGGGCCTGCCTCTCAGGGAAAATGTTGCACACGGGAGATTCCAGAATGACATCAAGTGAGTGGTGTTCCCCTCTCCTCGACCCTGGCCACACATCCCTGCTGAATCAAATTTGGGGGAATGGACAGGGGAAAAACAAATAAGGAAATCTAAGTAGTTATCAATTTACAAAGTAACAGCGTACAGAAAGCCTAATCATGGCACTTAATCACAAGCTACTTTTTCAAGCCTTGTACCCTGACTGCTTATCTACTCCAATTTATTAGCAGCTCATTGTATATTATCTTCTCCCTAAGGAGACACCTCAAGGTCAGGAATCTTTACTTAAAGTTCTTTAGTTCTCCACAGCCCAGGGCTTCATGGACATGTGACCAGTGCAGTTACACAGAGTCCCCATGCTCTGAAAAGCCTCATACGTGAGTTTAAGGATCTATGGTCACCGTCTTGAAATCCTTAATGATTTCATCTTTGAGTTTAGGCTTTAGAAGGGAAGTCCGAGGGGACAAATGGAACCAGGGCAGGGGGCATAAAGCCTTGGCTCATGTGTTATTCCATCTCTCAGGACCTGCGAGCCTCCCTAAGAGTGGTCCTCAGGCCCCTTGCCCTTCACCCTCTGGTGCCCCCAGCCTCACCTAGGGGAGTCTGGGTCAGGCAGGGCAGGGTGGCAGCGTTGCAATGCATTCAGAGGGCAACTCCTGCCCACTCCTGATCCAGGTACCAAGCCCACTGCCAAGTTTGCAATCCTAGGGGTCAGAGTGGCAGCGCCGTGGGAAGGGAGACGCATCAGTCTGGTGGCTGGATGCTGGGGGCACCCAGCAGCACCGTCCCAGGGTAGAGGGCAGGGCCCCGGTGGCTGCGAGTCTGCTCCCACCCTGGGGGTGTCCCCGTACCCAAGCGAGCACGACGTCAAAGAGCCCACGAAAACATCGCAACAGGTCAAAAGACAGGAGAGAGAAGGAGATCACGGAACAAAGGAAAAAGGTTTTAGAGTTTAGAATCTTCCACAGGATATTTTCCCTGCTTTTTAAACGAGAGGCCCCACATTTTCATTTTGAAAAGCATCCTGCACATTTTATAGCTAGCCCCGCCATGGTGAAATGTAGACATAGGACCCTAATGTGACCTGGGACCTTCCAAGCCATCTGAATTTTAATCCCAAATCATCCGGGGCGAGCTATATGGCAACAGGGACGTTTCTTGGCTTTTCGGAGTCGGTTTCTCCATCTATACAAGGATTGCAATCGTGCCCTATACACTGTGCATTGAATCACATGGTCAGGACTGCGCAGGGAGCACTGAACTGGCACTAACTTCCCCTCAGAAAGGTCCCTTCCTGTCCCCTCTCCCGTTCTGCAGCAAAGCTGCCCAGGGATCCTCGGGCCTCCCTTGAATATCCGCAGGGAGAGAAGACTCTCCTACCACCTGACTAACTTCATTAGAAAAGAAGGGGGCACCTGGTGGCTCAGTGGTTGAGCATCTGCCTTTGGCTCAGGTCATGACCCTGGGGTCCCAGGATCAAGTCCCAGCATTGGGCTCCCCATGGGGAGCCTGC